AAAGGTCATACAGCGAGAATGGGACGGACCGGGCTGACAAAGCTGAGCACAACACGGAAGGCCATGCTAGATTGCCTAGGGCATATTCTTCGATGCGAATTCCGTGTCGATTCACTCACCTAAGAGGTCCGGCTTTCTCTCCACTAATGAAGTTTCCCCTCCTTCGACCCTCATCTTATCGTGGAACCCTACTTTGACCGGCTGCAAGCGTTGTCCGGTCAGATACGCCTTAACAGCGCCTCGACAAAGCTGGACAGGATTCAAATGTGCTGTGTTTCGTCAGGCCCTCTTCAGAGTTGCTCGCTAAGCGAAAAAAGCAGACGCGAATTAAAATGAAATATTTATCGATAGAGTGAGAAGCACAGGAGAATCATGAAGTGGGAAGATATGAGAATTCAATTGAAAAAGAGATTTTCACATGTATGGACTCCCGGCGCTTCGCTCTTGCGATTTTTCGCCCCCTATTTTTCACAATCGATACCTATCAACTCTTGCACTCCACATTTTCCCACAGTGCCTATCTGAATCCTGGGAGAGGTTTTCATTTCATCTGGCCTGTGCGTTAGCGGGCAACTCCTAGACAGGGTCTCCTGAGACTGAAACGAGAAGTTATAGCTTCTCAAGGGTCACGAATTATGAAGCTCAGGCTGTTTCAACTGGCCATTTATTCAAGGAAAAATCCGCATTGGATAGGCGAAGGTGATTGCGTCCGAAAACAAACGTGCATAGTTGTGGTGACTGGTGATTAAAGAAAACAGAAAAAACTGCCAAAAACCCACGAAATCAGGTCGCGCGCCAGACGCGGGCCAAGCGTGGGCCTGATATTCGCTCACCCTATTACATGAGAGTCTCATTGTTTGGCCCCATTTCTCTACGTATTTCAACTTGTCAAAGGTATGCCAAATAATGCGACTTTTGTAGGGGCGAACTCAAAACCCGTTCACGCGATTGGCGCGCTATGTGACTTTAAGGAATTTTAGCGATTTTTTTGCTTTTTTTTCCGAATGGTGGACCAATTATTTCAGCTATGTCCATTTTCGAGTTGAATAACGCACTACCTATTCGATCATGATGTTCACCTGATAGGTCTGGTAAAGCAGGAGAATACTTTGCAGTGATAAATTGGACCCCAGACATCTCCACAAGTGTCTAATAGAACGTTAAGCATGTTTGAGAGAGTTATGAACCCCCTTTCATAGCTCTCTCAAACATGCTTTACTTATTTACTATACTTGTACTTATGTGCCCTTGCGGGAGAAAACATTCTTCCATAGCTTGAAGCAATACATCGTCACAGGTTCTCTTTTAAGTGTGTTTTGGGGAAATCATTCGGCAAAACTCACTTGTATGCCTGCTTGAGACCGCCGTTATCGGCGATGTTCTCTCCCTTGGTGCTTCTGCCGTTGATTTTCATCGCGATTTGCTCCAGCATATAGTCCGAGTACTGTTTCTCGATGCACTCCGCCTGAAACATTTCAAATGGTAGTTCACTCTACGAATGTGTAGTATTGAAGCCTTTTGGGAAGAACTTACCTTCTTTTCGAATTTCGCA